CTCTCTTTATCAGCTTGTACAATTTGAGCAGGGGTCATGGGTTGCAAAATAATTTTTTTGCCCTTATGCATAAGTGTGTATGCATTATTTCTACCATGGTGGACAGCATCATTATCAAATTTTCCATAGGCGTCCCAACAAAAACGAACAAGCTTGCATAGGTACCACATCATAATCCATAAAATCAGAATAGGGACCGAGGGAAAATGCACCCGGGCTGTTTGTGCTACCTTGACCTTATCGGAGTCGTTGAGCCATTGAATATGATACGGATGCTTATGAGGACGCGTGGTCAATTCAAGCTTCTTGACCAAATCAGAACTCACCAAATTGTGGAAGCTGCCTCCATCGATGATGACCCGTGCACGTCGATCTTTAATCACAAATAAAATCTAGAACAAGATATGGCACTGCAGCCTCTCTGCTTTCTCTATCTGTATACTGAGGACTCGCTGCACAATAAAAATTCGCTGGTTGCCTGCATCTTCGGAGCTCACAGAAACTCCCATTTGATCTTCATTTGAAGCAGGTTCATCTTCAATGTCTTCCTCTACATAAGAAGTGCTAATATAACCTCCATCTTCTGTAGCAATATATGCCCGCTTGCTAGGACATTCCCTTGCCACATGCCCATGTCCTTGGCAGCGATGGCAGTGAATGGCTGAAGAGCGTTCGGTGGAAGCCACAGAAGAGGCACTCTTAGCCGGTTCTTGCAAACGAGTCTTACCAGTGGGCGAAGGCGAAGTCACGGGTGGTGCTAAACGGGTGCTCACTGGTGGAGTAGATCGTGTGCTTACTGATGGTGCTGAAGGAGATGCACCCGATGACTTGGTGGGCGACGACATAATTGCCTTGGACGTGAAGGAGGTGTCATAGTTGCTCCTGCTCCTTTGCGGCGGCTACGGTCGTCCCTGTAATTCTTTTTCTACAAGCATGGCAAGCTGAAATAATGGTTGGTAGTGTTAAAATCTTTATAATCAACAATATCCTAAATTTCACATCTCAAACCACCATAAAAATGACACACTTCATCCTCCGGATCATCCTATATCCCACAACGAATCATGCCTTTTTGAAGCTCTGCAAAATATTCTTGAACGAACATATCTCCCTGTTCTAAGCGCTATATTTTTTTACGCAAATCTTGTTTATAAGAAACAGGAACAAATCTATCACGCATCCCATGTTTTAAGTCTTCCCATGAATCAGTTTTTTTTGCAAAGAACACCAGATTATAGCAAAATCTTTAAATTCACTAGTGGCTTGTCTAGCCTTATGGCGATCAGGTACAAGATGGGAAGCAAATTTTTGTTCTATTGTCATCTCCCAATCTAGGTATTCCTTAGCATCATATTTTCCATGGAAAGGTGGAATGGTAAATTTAATTTTAGCATAAGGATCATCGTTACCTTGATTGTGCCGGTTCTTATTACCCCCCGTACCTATTTTATTCTTGAGGAGTCGTCTTCTACGCAGACGGTTCGCACTGGTCTTAATGTGGTCAGGCAAACCATTGGAACCGTAAACAACATCCTCCTCCAATTCTTGAAAACCATCATCGTCATCCTCCTCGTCTTTATTATCGTCGGGCTTGGGAGGATTGGTCTCAAGCTGTTGAATCCTCCCTGTTGGGGCAGAAACTCGCTTGTCCACACCCTCAATAGAATGATGTAGACCTCTAACTTCTTCCATTAATGTGCCCATCTGTTATAGCATGAAATCCTTCAATACCTGAAACTAACTAGACAAAACAGATACGTTGTCGGGCGTGGTTAGTTATCAACAAAAACCCTAAGAACTATTTTGGTTCAGTTGGTGGAATCACACCCTCACACACGTCTTATCAAGTTCTTACCAACACGAGCAGAGGATGACAATTGATGGCTTGGTTGTGATACCTGTGAGGAAGTGACACCACGATTGCAAGGTCTTTTTCTATACTGATATGAAGGATATGTGGAGCTTGGAAGGCACACAAAGAGGAAAAATATGTATATGTGTCACACAGGTCAGTAATAGATAGTAATGCTTAATTATAGTCCCAAATACATGTTCTCGTCGCTAGCCTAACGTGTTCCAAGTACCGTGTGTGTGTGTGACATGTATGGAGAAACAAGTATGATGGATAGGAAGAGCAACAGGAACAAAGCACAAGACAGCACACGCTAACACATCTCAATTAGGCCTTCTCTATGTGCTCCTCTAGATATTGTTCTTTTTTTTTTTCTATTTTTGGGTTGTCGTTGTTTTTTGGGAAACCTTGACTTTTTATTTTTTTTATTTTTTTTCTTGGCTTAGGAGCATAGAAGAAGTAACCATAGAAATTTTGAGCTTAAACAAGTGAAAGACGTGGCCTGTGGAAAATTCAGAAAATGAGCTCAAAACTGACAAAAAGCTTCCGAGCTCGAAAAGACAATCTTGTGACCAGTTTTTAGAAAAAATAAATTCGCCAAACCCACCAAAGAGGGGGACGGACGATTCCAAATTTTTTGCTGATCGATTTGGATATAAAAACGTCTCAATAGGAGTTCGTATGCGAAAGTTATGACTAGTTTAAGAATCTGACTCCAAAATAGAGGACAAAACGGGAACAATGCGCGCAAAATTGGTCACGACAGCTAGGGTTTGATGGAAACGATAGGGAAAACACAAAACTGGACTCTAACACGACCTAACCAGCAACAAGACCTCGACTAGGACACAAACTCAACACAACAGACTTTGAAACTAAAATATGCAAAGGCTATGGCGCGGAAGGATCTAGGACAGGAAAAACGAGTATGGCACTGGACTATGGGACGAATGCGAAACACACAAAACTAGAGGATAGATGTGAACCCGACGTTATACCTTAGTTCTGATACTACTTGATGGGGACGTGATTCCTGATCTTCCGTTAGGTTGATGATAACTATCATTTTAGGCGGAGCGCGACACACCGATCCAGCTTCAGATCGAAAGACCCGAACCCTACAACCTTAGCACCACAACACCTCCGGTTATCAACCGTGTCACCAATCCGATTAACCTCGCCAAGAAGGCTAATCCCTACCTACGAAACGAAGAACACAAGAAGGAACTTGAAAGTACGTAGCTCAAAGTATGGGACAACTGTAGATTGTATGATTAAGTTCTCAAAGTGGGGTCACACAAACCTATAAACGGCGACTGTCAACGGTCAGAATGATCTAAGCAAAACCCAAAACCTAACGATGACGATGGCATATAATTATTAAGGTCCTAGGGTCATCGGCTACCTTGGATGCGCCCCCCCCCTAACGGGCTCAAAGACGATACACGACCCATTGGACCAAATACTGTGACGCAGCACCCTGACAAATTCTGGACGCTGAATTGTTTCAACAATTCCCATTTAATCTGAAGGGATTTTGACATGGGACCACTTCCATTGGTTTCCTTATGAAATTATCTTTCCATCCATATTTGGATCATCGAAAATGGGGTCTAGACACGTCTTGGGGGACCCGTTTATGGCGGACTGGTCTTGTAAGCCGAGGCAGACTCGAATTCATGTTGGACCGGGCCTCCGGCTTATGTTGGATGTCCTTGCTGGTCATCTTTGCCTCCATCTCTTCCTCCAAGTTCCTCATGACCCTCTTTAATGTTCCTAAGAAATATAACATCATTAAGTAGTAGTCTATTCTCAAAAGTATGAAAATAATCGCTTAAGAACGAGCTCACCTCTAAATTTAGCTGGCGCATTCGAGCTCGGGGCGTTGGACCTTGCATAGCCCATGGAAGTTGCAGACATGTTCAGTACGCCACCTTAGGAGGACCACATGGTCAATGTTAGTGACAACTCTGTCGCATGCTGCCTCAAGAGCTTCACCAGGTGCGTGCTGAAGAAAGTCAACTCTCCACTTATTCGTGAGCCTTCCAAGTAGCCTCCTGTTAAGTCGGTGCTGCCGCTGCGGAATAGACGGTTGGCGGCTTAGACTCTCTCGAGTATCTACTTCCAAACGAGGTGAGGTACTGATCATGCTATGTATGGGCTACACCAAGGATCCATCAGCGTTATCCGCATCAGAGCTAGAGGCCTTTAAAAAGATTTTCGATGGCAACCTGACTGCGTCCAACGTTGAAGCGTTGGACGCGCTCTAGGCTCGTCCAAGCAGCCACGAAGACGCAAGGCCACCTTCTAGGTCGCACAACTGCGTTGGTTTTAGTTGTTTTTTATTTATGTAATATAGAATCTAGAGGTCTTTTTAGGATGATCTAGCTACGGCTATTTTAGATCGACCTCCTTCGGCGCTCGATAGAGGCGTGTTGTCTATATGTTTAAAACTCTTCTTGTTAATACAACGCAAATCTTTTGCTTATTCGAGAAAAAAATACGAGGTATCCAAAGTAATTTTAGGATGAATGAGTCTTACAAAAGACTAACTTGTCTTAACTAATTATAGTTAGTTTCATTATTAACTTGCTTTATTTTCTAGTAAGACATAGTTTAAAAAGACATGTATGGATGTCATTGATTTTGGTTACCAACATGAGTAATTTTGGGCAACATGATGTTTAAGAACATAGTTAGAGGGGTGTAGTCTTGGCTAGACCGATAGTTTTAACAACGCATTTGTTTCGGTTGCGCGATTAATTTTAGAAAGGACTATTCACCCTCCCTCTAGTCCGCCATCTCGACCCTACACCTAGGTGGACCGGACCCTAGCTACGGGAGGACCGGACCCTGAGAGGGTGAGTCCGGTCATCAACCCTAGCCAGGGCGCGACACTATGGTGTTCTGGGCCCAAGGCAAGGTCGGGTCCGGTCAGTTGCAGCTGCGGTGCAGTGGCTCACGGGGGTTCCGGACCCTGGTGTCAAGCAGGACCAGACCATGAGCCATGGGTCTAGTTGTGGCATTGTGGAGCGCGAGCAGAGCAGGTGGTGACGTGGCGCGCGGGGGAGGACCGAAGCCTGATTGTCAGAGTCCGGTTGCTTCAAGCGGACCAGGTCCGGAGGGTTTTGGCCCTCTCGGGACCTTTCTAGACACGACCGGACCCTAGCGTTGGTGGGTCTGGTCCAGTTGTGCAGGGAGGATCTGGTCTTGCTGTTGTGTGCGCGTTGGCACGATCGGACTCCGTGCGGCGGGTCCGGTCATCCTTGAGTAGGTCAACCTCGAACTCGCCGATGCCACCCTTGCCCATGCCACCTGTATCCTGCATCAGGTATTGAAAGGAGATGGGGCAAGGTGAGATATACAAGGAGTCGGGAGACAAAGTACATGAGGGCATGACGAGCTCCACAGGTGTTAAGACATCTAGGCTTGTCTTATGAGCCATATTTTTTAGTGAAGAAATATTATTTTTTTCTCATAATAAATCAGCGAACAATACTTTTCAGTCTGGCTTATCAATCAAGCGAACAAGGCAGGACGCCGTCTGAGTCGAGGAAGGAGGAAAACGAAATAGAGATTAACACCGTAGAGGAGGGACAAGCTCATCCCTAGATTTTGAAGAGAAGGATATGCTCCGCGTTTATGAGAAGTGCCTCCTAGGAGGATGATCTGTCCTTGCAATCCCTAAACCAAATAACAATACAAATGGAATTTTCCCTATCCGATCTCAGTTTGTCCCTAAAATAAGGGTCTATTTGGCGGGACTCTTCCTCGGTTTTGGCTCTGCGGAGGAGACCTATCAATGTTAAGCAGAGAAGCTAGAGCCGCTCTGACTCCTCCAAAACGGCTTTGGCTCCTCTCAAGAATCCCCTGAAGAGAAGCTATGCCAAACACCCATGAGCGTTATATAGACTCGGTTGTATGACCGCAACGGAGATCAACCCAACATAGGTGTGTTGTACTTGTCACGCACAGTGCTCCTCGTCTCCTTCTAAAAGTGTTGTTGCTCTCCGCTAAGCATGAAACAAAACAGTCTGCAACGAGCTAATAAGTAGCTAACTACGCTCATGGTCCTGTGTGCTACGATTTTAAACGGCTCTAGTTCTTCGCTACGGTGTGCCAAGATAGGTGAAGACAAAAATAGACCCTAGTTCATTTTATCATCTCGGGAGGATAGAAATAGAATAGCTTCTTCACTCGCGCCGCACACGGAGGGAGCCAAGGAGCCACCCGATGTGCCCTAACATTTTTCTGAGAGAACAGGAGGGGTCGAGACCCCTACTGAAGATGTGCTCTACCATTGCAGCGCACAACTATGCATAGTAGTACAATAATGGTAGTACGATCACAAGAGTCCAGTCAATACAGAGCGTGCTCGTTCAAGGCAAAAAGGCAGCACACGGCCACGCACGCAGGGCTGAGCAGGCATAACAGGGGACCAGTCGTCGTAAGCACACCTCTTCCCGGAGCTCTGCTCCCCGAGCTAGTACGCGCCGACGACGACGGGGTGTCACCGTCGCCGCTGCCTCGGCAGGCGCCGATGCCGACCCCGACGCCCCGCAGGACGCTCCGGTCGTCCAGGCACAGCCCGGAGTTGCCGCTCAGGTCGAGGTTCCCGCCGAGCCGGCGCAGGAACGCGCCGTCGAACGGCACGGCCCCGCCAAGCGCGTTGTTGCTCAGGTTCAGGTGGTACATCCTGCCCAAGCGGCTCAGCGCCGCGGGGATCGGCCCCGTCAGGTTATTGTCCTGCAGCGAAAGCGTCGTCAGGCTCGCCAACTGGCCGAACGCCTCCGGTATTGGGCCCGAGTAGCCGGAGCCGGCCAGCCGGAGTTCTTGCAGGCGGGCAAGGCTGCCGAGCTCGGAAGGCAGCGGGACGCCCATTGGGTTGTTGTCCATGATCAGGTACTGGAGGTTTCGTAGCCCGGAGATGCCTGGAGGGAAATGGCCGGTCAGGCCATTGTTGCTGAGCGCCAAGAAGGTGAGCGAGGTCAGGTTGGCGACGGTGTCCGGGATGCCGCCGGTGAGGTTGTTGGAGCTGAGGTCCAGCTTCTGCAGCTGCCGCAGCTCGCCGATCCGGCTCGGGATGGCGCCAGACAGCGAGTTGTAGCTCAGGTCCAAACCGACCAAGCTCCTGAGCTGGCCAATCTGGGTCGGCACAGGCCCCGAGAGCGAGTTGTAGCTGAGGTCAAGGCGCACCAGCGAGGTGAGGTCCCCGATGCCCAGAGGGATCTCGCCGCGGACCAGGCCGTTCTGGGAGACGGTGAGCACCTGGAGGGCCCGGAGGCTGGCCAGCGCCGGCGGCATCGTGCCGGACAGCGCCGGGTTCGCCCTGATGCTAAGCTGCTGCAGGCCGGAGGCCGCCGAGAGGTTGGCGGGCGCCGGCAGGGTGAGTGTCGTGGCGGCGGCCGGGTTGGTGAAGCAGTCGACGAAGAAGAGGGACTGGAGGTGCGGCAGGGAGAACACCTCGGGAGGGAAGGACGCCGTGTCCTTGCACGTCGGGTTGGGCTCCACGCCGAAGTCCAGCCGCGTGACGTGCATGCGCGCCGCCGCGTCGGCGGCCGGCTTGCACTCGAGCCCCGGCCACGGCGCGCTGCAGGGGTCGGGGCTCTCGACGCGCCAGTCCCGGTCGGAGGACACGGCCTCCATGACACGGAACAGCGTCTCCCTCTCTGTTGGATCCATTGCCGCCGCCGCCGCCGCTGCCGCTGCCGCTGCGCGTCGGCGGCCACGGGGAGCAGGGACAGCAGCAGGGCAATGAACGCTGGCACCATGGTGTTCGCGCTCGCGCGTGCGGCTCTGGGGTGTGGGCCTTTGCGGACTGGAACGGACGGGGAGTCTCGCCAGGAAGGAAGGCTTGCCCTTGCAGCAATAAAACAGGGGGCTCGTGACTCGCGTGAGCGACTCGATTGACGCGACGACGACAGAGAAAGCGCGCGAGGAGTACAAGTAGAACAGGGGCACAGGGTCCCCCGTCCAGGCAAAGGCAAGGCCTCGCGTTGCGTTCGGGTCGCCCGTAATTCCACAAACGGAAGTACTGGTGGCTGGTTGCCGGTAAGTGTGAGAGACTGTTCCAGTTAAAAATTACGAACAGGCTGACTAGTTTCTCCGCTCTGGCTATGCAGTGCTAGTAGGGGCCATTCGAAGGGAACCGCACGCAGTACAATGTAACGAGGCTAGTACGTAGTTGACTGGTCAGGCGCTAGCTACGTTCCTGACATGAGTTATCTGCTTCGACCTACACCAACACTGTCACTGAGATCGCCGGATGGTTGGGTGTTTGGTCTCTAAGTGCTCTCTAAAATTTTGTCCTATCAAATATTTAGACATATACATAAAATATTAAATATAGATTAATTACAAAACTAATTACACAACTTGTGATTAATTAGCGAGACGAATTTTTAAGCTTAATTAGTCCATGATTTGACAATATAGTGCTACAGTAACATGTGCTAATGATAGATTAATTAGACTTAAAAAAATCGTCTCGCAAATTAGTCTCCATCTATGTAATTTGTTTTTTAATTAATCTATATTTAATCACTGCGTTCAGCTGATACGCTTCCAGCTTGTTTCAGCTTATTCTCTCTCACAGAATACTATTCAATCATCCAAAACAATCCAAAAATCACTATACACTGCACCAGCCGAACACGGCCAATGCTCTTTATTAGTACCTAAATATTTAATGTGACATGAATTTTAGGAAGCGATTAAAAACCAAACACCCCCTAATAAGCGCAAAAGAGGGGCCCGTTGCCTGACCTCCATAATTTCACAACCCAAGCGTGTAAGCCCGTGTTTAGTTCCCACCCCAAAACTTTACGCCGGTCACATCGAATGTTTGAGATATACATAGAGTATTAAATATAGACTAAAAAATTAACTAATTACACAGTTTACGACTAATTTGTGAGACAAATCTTTTAAGCCTAATTAGTCCATAATTTGACAATAAAGTGCTATAGTAACACATGTGCTAATGATGGATTAATTAGACTTAATAAATTCATCTCGTAATTTACTGATGGATTCTGTAATTTATTTTTTATTAGTATTTAAACACCTCATACAACACTACATGTAATATCCGATGTGACATCTCAAAAACTTTACACAAGGCCTAACCTGCAATGCCTGCATTGCAGCATGTCACCTCTGCAACTTGTCAATCACAACTTTGGAAAGACGTTTATTTCCATTGGGGTGAACGAAAAAAATCTGGCGCAATCTCCTTCCTCCGTCCAAAATGAATATAATTAAAGCATTTTAAGTTGATTTATAGAAAAACAAAATAATGCTAATATTTATATATACCAGATCCAACCTAGAAGGAATCTAATGGTTTTTTTTAATTAAGAAGAGAAATAGACACATAAATTCAGTCAAGAAAGAACTTGAATCTGAATGTTTGGGTGCATGACCAGACCATTCAGCCAACCAATTTCAGCTAAGCTTACCAAAATTTCCATAGATTCGTCACGGAGGAACCACTTGGAACACACCTTCATGGGCAAACAAATACTGTACACATAAATCAAAGGGTAAGGTCTTGTTTAGATTGCCTCAAAATTTTTCAACGCATGTATGGAGCATTAAATATATTCGTTACGGAGGAATCCACTTTTGAACACACCTTCTATGGGCAAACAAATATTTATCAAATACACATAAAGATTGTCCAGATTGCAAAAATTTACAATTTAAACAAGGTAAGACAGAAATCCGATCCGAACACCCAAAAAGACTCTCATGGATGGCACACGAAATGGACCAGTGAGCAGTCAGGATTCAGGTGGGAACAGATGCGGCTCAGATCAGTCTCACGCCGCGGCAGTGGCACGAGTGCACGACCCGCACCCGCACGGCGGCACGAGTCAGCCCTTTGCCCATAATAGACGAATCATACAATTCCTCAAAGACCCCAAATCCCAAGTTCGAAGTTCCCAAATCCCAACCCAGGTATGGCCTGTGGGTCGGGAATCGGGACTACACATCCCAGCCGACGTGACAAAAGCTGTCTGACTCAGGCATAGTGGTACCGAAGGCAACCCGATCCTGTTTACTTGAACTTATTAGTCAACTTTTCAAATAGAATCTACATAATTTTTCTAAAACAACAGTTTTAACTCACTCTAATACCAGCCCAACAGTCTGTCACGGTGTTGGTTGCAGCAGCCAGCAAGTGGCAGACTGAGATGACCGATCAACACTATAATTCGTTCACTTTGAAAAAAAAAAATGAACCCGATAAATAATACCACTTTCATCTTATTTAACAAATATTATCCAATCGTGAACCAACTAGGCTCAAAAAATTCATCTCGTGATTTTTAACTAAACTGTGTAATTAGTTATTTTTTTACCTATATTTAATACTCCATATAAACGGCTAAAAATTAATGTGATGAAGAAAATAAAAAAACTTAGAATTTGAATGGCATCTAAATAAGGCGTGGATTCTCTACAAAAGCAAGCACCATGTGATGCTTGGCAGAACGATGGAGAGGTGCCTGCAACCGCGTCACCTCGCGACGCACCATGTCCCATCAAATGTCTTCAAATAAAAGGAAGGAAGCACTGTTACTGCGTTAGAGTACTACAGTAAACACAGCTTACCGGACAAGCACCAGCGGGTACAGGCCCAGCTTGTTTCTTTGCTCAGCTCTGTGTCGCCTCCCCGAGTCATGGTACAGAGCGGGAAGCACCCGCTGGCGACCTGGCGTTGCTAAACGCAAACGAGCCGAATTGGGCTCATTCAAGCTGGTAATGCAAAGCTACCAAGCATGTCCTGCATGCCCTTCTTGCTTCCTCCTCAGCAAACGATCTCAAAAAAGTTGTTTAGCAGAGCTTCTAGATTAAGCCCAGCAGCCGCTTTGAGAGCTCTATCAAACAGATCCTAATTAACAACTGCCTTAAACACTAAGTTAACAGCACAATTAGAAAACTCCTCAATGTACCTTCAGGAAAGTCAGTTTTGCATTTTCACAGTAGACATAACAAAGACTGGAACCTAGAGAAAGTTAGGACCGCCCAAATGTGAATCTATGATTACATTTCAGATGGGCAAAATATAGCAGCTACTACAAGAATAAAATTCGAGTAGTGGAGGCAGAATTAAGTCAAAAGGAAAAAAATTAAGATCTCCAACTCACGAGCAGCTGCTGCGTTAGAAGAGCCAATATGGCACCAATGGAGATATTCAGTACATTGACAATATCGTTATTCAGCTGCATAGAACAATATTCACCATTAGTTTCAAGAGAAAAAAAATTCCATGAAGTATACAAGCCTAATCGTGGTACACAAAGAATAAGAAACAGTGAGGCTCAATAATAAATGGTCTTCCTGCAACAAAAAATTCATCCAGAAGAAAACCTCAAGTGATGTCCCAGATTCAAGTTGGTCATTGTGAACAGAAGCTTCCAGGTAGCCGCCAAAAAAACAATGTTGACCAATGGAATGCTGCACTATATATAATCATTGTATATAATGATGCATCCTATAATTAGTTTACATGCCTAAAAACAGACATCAAGTAGACTAAAAAAACAGACATCAAGTGTATATAATGATGCATCCTATAATATTCTTGACTACACTTGATACAGGCATGCACCAATGTCACTAAACATACGAAAGCTATATTAATACCAGCAAATAAAATTATATAATGGCCCTGTTCGCTTTGCTGAAAAGCCATGGCTGAAAGTACTGTTCGCTGATTTATTATGAGAAAAAACACTGTTCGTTCGCTGAAATAGTACGGCTCATAAAACAAGTGAACAGGGCCATTGTCCTTTGCATTCGGCAGGACTTATTGCTGCTGCGACTGATTTGTAGGACCGATTTGTTGTGAGAGAAAAACACTGTTTCCATGGCTGAAAAGTAGGGCTGATTCTGGCTGATAAGCTCAAGCGAACAAGGTCATTGGGTTATACCAAAATGATCTGGATTATATACTTGGCTGCATTGAGCCACATGCTGAGAATGTCATCAGCTCATTATGCTGAAATTTATCTAGGAGGTCACGAAGTAAATAAGATGGTTGTCCATTGGGTAGCGGATGTATTTATGGCACACATAAATGATGATGGCCCTATTAATACACCACTGGGACTCCAACAACACTTCATGTAAGCCAATTTGGTGATGCAAAGTTGCAAACAACATAACAATTAGCACAAAAAAAATGCCGATTGAGGAAATGGGGTAACTGGGAAAAGTTCAAACAAGCTTTGTAGATGAAGCATCAGTATTTAGTAAGGTAAAAGTGCAAACTCACCCATTCAAAACCTTCCTTGTCTTGCAAAGTCGCCCCAATATAACTCTCAACATAATTCGCAATCTGAGAGGCAAGAACGCATACCGCAACTTGTGATACATCCACCTGCAACATAACACAGGATTCTTTCCTCAGTAATCATGTACTCCCTCCTTTTCTTCATGGTGTATTAGGATTTGAAAACGTCAGTCTTCGTAAAATTCCAACAACAATTAGTCAAATTATATGTGTGTGTAGTATTTACAAAACTTGCACCAAGAGATTCATTTTTCAGAGATCTTTAATACGAAATCGATTTTGTAGAAATTGATGATTTTTTTAGATAAACTAATGGTCAAATATACTTTTCAAGAATTTTTCAAATCCTAATGTGCCCTACAAAAAGAGGAGGGACAACCAATTTTACAGTCCAGTGTAAGAAGTATAAAATTCACAAGTCACTGTAGCCCCCATAATTGCAATTTCTAGGTTGACTATCATACTATAGAAACACTGGTAAACTAAAGACAAGATCAAGGACGCTCCTGATGGTGTTGAATTTCAAACAAAAATATGTACCTGCCCAAGAAGATAACCAACACCTGCAAGAAACACAGCCGCTAGAATTCCAGCAATAGTACCCTCAATACTGATTGCACCTTCTGTACCTCTAGGAACAACCTTTAATGTTGTCACCAGGTACCTATTCTACAGAAGAACCAAGATTTGAGCATTCAGTATTGAGAACCTATTATAACTCCATATAGACTTGCATTCTACAAAAGAATGGAAGTTTACATGATGACATCTTATGAAGGCTGCATAGTAATGTGTTACGAAAACTAAACTTACGTTGTTCTTCCAAAAGCCTTCCCTATTTCACTTGAAACTGTATCACTTAGTTTAGTACAGAAACTAGCAACAAAGCCCAGTCTCCAGAGCTCAGAGGATGCTGTACCACCAGCATGATATATTGATAGTACGGCACAAACACAACCGGCAGCGCTAGAACCAATAACACTTCCAGGCCCTCTTCTTCCTCCTCTTTTCTCTGCTACTCCCAGAGCTTCCTTCTGTCTTATCCTCAACTTAGTAACCGCTGTGCCCTGCATATCAAATACTAAATAAAAAACTTGGCTGATAGCCTAAAAGGATTAAAATGATAGATAACACATCAGAAAAGGCAAATTAGCTGGATTTGTCTGCTACAGCAAGCAACCAAAATCATGAAATATGGTAGTATAATGTGAGAAAAAATCATAGACTGCACAGATGATCAAAAGAATAAAACGCATGAACAGTCTCAAACTTGTCCGACAGTGTAAAAATGCAGATCTGCCCTGAACGGCTGAACTTTTTAAATCTCTCGTTCAAAGGACCAAAGCTCCCTAGTTGAAATGTACCTGCCTGTTTTGGCAAGCAGGCAGCGCACAAATGTGCAAGCTTCCTCTCACTGTTCCTATTTCCGATGCTGCTGACAGTGTTGGACTGTGGCGACAAATCAGGGAGGGAGGGGGGGGGGGGGTCCAGGCTAATCACTAATCAACATGCACATAATTATTCTTTTAGTATGTAAAAAGGAGCCACACATAATGGGTGTTATATTTTGAAGAACAATCGCATAAGAGGACAGCAATAGAATGGACAGCCTATGTATAGATAGAGTTGCATTTGCATATTTGTAATCTCCCACTAGTCACCACATGAGCGCAGTGGCGAGGACGCGCAAGGCAGGGAGCAGCATGAGCTCACGCTAGGTACTCAGTTGCTAGTGTCGTATGCGTGGTGTGGCCATTGTCCTACGAGAAGATGGAGAATAGGCACACTGAAGACTAGTGAAGCTGATGCCTGTTATGCTTATTATTGGAGTGTACTAGACACGTTATAATTAAGTGTACTTGTGCAAGCGCTTAAAGTGTACTTGTGCAAGCTGAAACTAGCACCCCTCAAGTCACCAAGGGCGGTACGAGCAGCCTGAGCACAGAAGTTGCCCCATGGTCCTAGCTGATTCGGCACACAAAGAGGGAGAGAGAGAGGGTCAAAGGTGGAGGGTGCTGTTGTGTTCAACAACAAGGCCAGCAGTGAGATGAGATCTATCAAAGCCATTGCACAGTGGAAGGCACACGGAGCACAGTATGTAGTACTAGGTCGAAGGCTTGTTGCACACACAAGTGGTTTCCATCTCTCAAGGAGGTATTGTTGATGGCAGCCATGGAAGCCACAAGGAGCTCAGTTAAACCCCAATTTGCCATCCAACTATTCTCGATTAAGCTCCATCTTCAAATCTTCTCCAAAACTTAGGTGTACGTTCCACGCCACCCCACCAGTAAGACTTGCTTGCCGGACATCTCCACCCTCCCCGTCGCATGGGAAACAATAAAATGGTTGCCCTGGCCAATGATTCAGCAGCAGTCCATGGCTTGAGGGCAAGCAAGATGAAACAAAGGAAGGGTGGAGGGAGGTTGGGTTATGGGCTGATGAGATGATACACAGGACGAGTTACCCATAGATCTGGTGGGCCGGAGGAGGAAGAGAAGCATAGTCAGCAACTGAGCATGGCCGCATGCCCGCATGTCACCTTGATGCCACATCAGTTGGTACATTTGGATAAAGGAGATTTGGACATTGAGCATTTTAAGAGTTGGCCTAGATGACACCGTTTGACAAGTTCAAGGACCACCGATGCACTTTAATTAATTATCAAATTATCATGAGGTTGCTAAGTATGAGCAACCAAGAGCAAATACATCCATATCAAACAAAACTTGTTCATTTTAACCAGAAAACCAAGAGGAAAAACCTCCACTCCTCTGGTCTCTAATTGGGTACATCACTATATTATGTCATTAGCATTGCAAATAGTATGCCCAAGCGCAGGCCATACACGCTTTTATTCTAATTCTAAGGGGTGAAACTACAACAGAACTAGATTTTTTTAAGCAAACTGTACACACAGATTTCAGTAAGGTCTCGTAGCTAGGTTCAATCTAGCACCTACAAACTACAAACATGAACAGGATCCATCTGCGACAACTACTAAGCTGCTGTAGAATGACATAGTAACATCGACCTCAGGAGGATTTATCATTCCACGGCAGAATCCAATTAAATTTAAACTAAATTAGTCCATACTGGGTAATGAGAACCGTTCGGACCGACTCACCACAACGAAGTAGGCGACGACGAGGAGGAAACCCGGGGCCCCGAACGCGCGCCACGTCAGGGTGCCCAGGAGATAGGCGGCGGCGAAGCCGGAGGCGGAGAGGCCCGAGAGGAGCACCGGCGATCCGGCGACGAAGACGGCGAGGTTGCTGGCCGCGGCGGACCGCCACGTCGGCGGCGACGTCAAGAAGGCGTCGGCGAGCGCGTCCCGAATGCCCGCCACGGCCCCCGCAGCAACGTCCGGGAGCGCGCGAGGCGGGGACGGGGGACGGTGGCGCGGAATCCTAGGCCTTCGACGGAACAGAGGGAGGGTTCTGGGCGTGGGGAGGTAGGAGAGGATACGAGGCGACGAGGAGAGGGGAGCGTGGAGCGGGAGTGAGCACGCCATTGGAGACTAGAGAAGGGTGATGATGAACTGATGGTAGCCTTTTTTTTTTTTAAGCCTGGACTCTAGTGTACAAGTTGAGACGCAACACACTCACGCTACCGCACACGTACAAACATCCATTCTGGAGATCAGTGAAGGCCGAGAGTCGTCTGAACTCAGGAAGCAGACAAGTAGGAGGACTCCCCTCTTGTTTGTTTTTTTAAGCCAAAAATATCCTTATCGCCCGTGAGCCCATTCCGATGCGAAGCCCATCTTTGGTAGCCCGATTTAGCCCACCCATGACTCCATGAGAGCGCACGCTTAAGCCACCCCCTTAACCCTACCGCTGAGCCCGGAACACAGCCCCGCCGCCTCCAACCAGCAAGGCAGCAACCATGGAAGATCTGTTGCTTCTTGCCGCCTCCAGCACAGCCGTGAGCCGCCGCCGGCTCCTCGTCTCTCCTCCCAGTCTTCCGGCGTGCCTTGCTTCATTAGTTCATTTCCCTGTAGCCCCGAATCTACGTTTTTTTTTCTGCTGCCAAGTGATGCTGGGAATATTGCGCAAGGGCTTTGAGCAATTCGTGGCTTGTGTTTGCCTGATGCGATGAGATCACAACAGATGTATTATCCCTTCTGATGGCAGCAGTTTTGGGCCCTGGATCTGCATCCTTTTGCACACTCTCTCTCTCTCTCTCTCTCTCTCTCTCTCTCTCCATAAATAGAGGAAATCAGGAAACTTCATTTGCTTTGTGGTTTTGTGAGGTGTTGTGCAAGAAAGCATTTACCTTGCCGATTCTGCTTGGTATAATTTTTTCCCCTGAAATATAAGATCTATTCACATCCCTTTTCATTGCCAAGTGATGCTGGGATTATTGCGCAAGGGCTATGAGCAGTTCATGGGCACTTGTGGCCCAACCCGCGGTGATATGAATACATGACATCCCTTCTGATGGCAATTTGGTTATGGTTAAGAAATCAACTACTCCTAGGTACATAACCGATGTTTTAAGTACGCTTTGACTGTTGGCTGTTGCTTGATTTTATGCTAGATAACATTTGCAGCTTTACAAATTAGCTTTTGCAATTTTGTTTTAAAATGTTATTCATTCAAGCGTAATGCCGTTGTCAACCACTCTTAAGTATTCATAGCTTGTTTGATGGCACTATGACTAGAGGTAGAAGAAAGGAAAGAGAACAGAGCACACAGCATAAGTATCAGCGTTGGCCAAAGTTCTGCAGAGGAGATGACAAACTGAACTCGCTCTCTTTACTGAGTTATAGTGAAAAAATATATATATAACTCTACTTATTTCATCCTAGTATACAGACATGTCATGCTGTCATGCTGCTACAGTGACTAGATGTGACAGTAGAGTTGACTTTGACGCATGCCCCTATTGTAGCTACATTGGGGGACCCGTTAGGCCCGCCTTGCCGCCTACATAGCCTAGCCTTCGACTGAACTGATGACGGCAGTAGGAGAGATAGAGGCGAGCCCTTTCGGCCTTTGCTCCCTACGCGTTCACACAGGTGAGCAGCAGATTACTTAACAATTTTTCCATAATCCTGCTGCTAACCCTAGAATCCTCTCCATGCCGATCATCTTCTTCAGCTCCATAAATCGAGGACGGTCGAGCGACTTGGTGAGGACGTCCGTGAGTTGCCGACCAGTTTCGACGAACTCGATGATGATCTGTCCTCCATCGATACAGTCCCTGATGAAGTGGAACTTGACGTCGATGTGCTTGCACCGGTCATGGAGAACCAGATTCTTCGCGAGAGCGATGGCGGGCTGATTGTACACCATCAGTGCTGGTGGGTGAGCTTCCACACCGGTCAGCTCACCCAGCAGCCGGCACAACCATACAGCTTAGCACGCCGCTATGGTCGTCGCCACGTACTCTGCCTCGCACGTGGACAGTGCCACTATCTTATGTTTCAGCGTCAGCAATGAGATTGGAGCCGACCCGAGGAAGACGAGCACGTCAGAGGTGCTCCACCGTCCGTCGATGTCCCCTGCCATGTCTGCATCGCTGAACATAATGAGCTGCAGCCTACTTTCATCAGTCTTGGGGAAGACGATCACCTGATCTACCGTCCCCTTAACATAGCGCAGCAGCCGCTTTACCGTAGTCCAGTGATTCTCTCGGGGATCCTCCACGAGACAGCTGACGTAGCCCACGGCGAACGTAATATCCGGCCTCGTGTGGACTAGGTAGCGCAGATCGTCGACGTTGCTCCGGTAGAGTGTTGCATCTACCTTCGCCGTGGTAGTGGCCTTCGTCAGCTTCAGCCGCTCCTCCATCGGAGTCACGCACGGCTTGCACCCAGTCATGCCGCTCCGCTCCAACAGCTTCGAGGCATACGTGCTCTGATCGAGCGTGAGCGCCTTCTTCTCATGTCTTACCTCGATGCCGAGGTAGTAGGAGAGTTCACCGAGATCGCTCATTCGAAAATGAGCCGCCATCTCACGCTTGAAGCTGTTCATGTCCTCCGCACGTGCGCCGGTGACGATCAAGTCGTCCACATACACGTCGACGACGAGCTCCTCCTTCCGTCGCCGCGTGTAGAGCGCGTGCTCGGTTGCGCACCGCGTGAACCCAAGCTCGCCCAGCGTGGCGTCAAGCTTGGCGTTCCACGCTTGCGGCCCTACCGCAACCCGTAGAGCACCTTGCACAGTTGGAGCACCCTGCGCTCCGCTCCCTTGACGTTGAATCCCAGAGGTTGTCTGACGAAGACCATCTCCGCCAGCTCATCATTGAGGAAGGCTAATTTTACATCCAGATGATGGACGCGCCAATCCTTCGCTGCTGCCAAAGTCAGAAGCAGTCGGACAGACTCCATACGCGCTACCGACACAAAGACTTCCTCGAAGGTGATGCCCTCGCGTTGGACAAAGTCTCGAGCGACGAGGCGCGCCTTGTGCTTGACAATGGCACCGCGCTCGTCCCGCTTGACCTTGTACTCCCACTTCAGGCCGATCGGACGGTATCCTAGAGGTGGATCGACGAGCTCCAAAGTCTCGTTTACCTCGATCGCCTTCATCTCGTCCAGCATCGCCCGTTGCCAATTTGCATTGCGCTCAGGTAGCGCGAACATGGGTGGTTCCTCTGCACTGACGAGAAGCGGCTCTAGGTTATTGAGCAGCCGACCCGTCAGACCTAAGGACCCTATGCCGTCGATGATGTCGTCCAGCCTACGGAACCGCACCTCCTCACCGTCATGGAAGGCATCCACAAACTCAGTGATGCCACTTGGAGGTGAGGCGAACTCAATCGGTGTTGATGGAGTTGCTTGTTCCGCTGGAGTGGTCGGCACGGCACCTGGAGTGCTCGGCACCCCGACTGCAGTGCTCGGCACTACTACTAGACCGCTCGTCACCACTCCTAGAGTGGTCGACACACTGTAGGAGTGCTCAACGCCAATCTTAGAGTGGTTGGCACCACTGCAAGACCTCTCGGCTCCGCTATGGGAAAGTTCGACACCCGTCTTGGAGTGGTTGGCACCACTGCAAGACCGCTCGGCACCACTCCTAGAGTGCTCAGCACCCCTTCCGGAGTGCTCAGCACTGCCCCAGGAGTGCTCGGCTCCGTTGCTGAAGTGGTCCGCACCTCCTCTCCAGTGTCTCCACCACCGTGGATGACCAAGTGCTCGACGATGAAGGTGCTAGTGAAGCCGCTAGCTTGCCCCATGTCCGGGCTGTCCTAGTCCTAGGCCACCTTCTCGTTGAACAAGATGTCGCGCGAGGCAACCACCTTGCCTCCACGTGGGTCGTAGAGCGGGTACGCCTTGGTACCTTCCTTGTAGCCCAGGAGCATCATCGGTCTACTTTTGTCCTCCAGCTTGGTGAGGACCGACTTCGTCTTCCTGACATGGCCGATGCAGCCGAATGTTTAGAGGAAGGACACGCTCGGCTTGCGCCATACCAGGCTTCGAACGACGTCTTGCCTTTTTAGGGCCTTGGTGGGCGTGCGGTTGAGGATGAACACCGCCGTGGTCATCGCCTCACCCCGAACCTTATCGGCATGCCCTTTGCCTTCATCATGGATCGAGCCATACTGACCATAGTCTGGTTCCACTGCTCCACCACGCCATTCTGTTGTGGCGTGTATGGCATGGTGTGGTGTCGCACCACACCCTGATCCACGCAGTACACAGCGAACTCCACCGAAGTGAATTCGCCACCACAATCAGTCCTCAGCACAAGCAACTTCTTGCCGCTCTCCGTCTCCGCACACGCCTTGAACTTCTTAATCGCCTCCGCCGCCTCGTCCTTGCTCGTCAGGAGTTGCAGCCACATATAGCGACTGTAATCATCCATGAGCAGGAGGAAGTACCACCGACCACCGTTTATGGCTGGTGTGATTGGCCCGCAGAGATCATTGTGGACGAGCTCAAGAGCGTCCACCACGCGATACTTGGCCGTCTTTGGGAACGGTAGCCTCCTCTACTTCCTGGCCAGGCAGCTATCACACAGCTCGCCTGTGTGCTTGATGTGGGGCAGCCCTCAGACCATCTTCTCCAGCCAATCAAGCGCGTCGAAGCTGAGATGGCCGAACCGGGCATACCACAGCCATGGCTCCTCGGTGTGCCGTGCTGCCAGGCACATCGGCTGCTCCACCTTCAAGTTGAGCAGGTACAGCCAGTTCTTGGACCTCTTCACCTTATCAAGAAGGTGCTACTCTCGGTCCCTAATCTTGAGGACGCCATCCTTGATCAGTACCTCGCTGCCACGCTCATCCAGCTAGGCAATGCTGATGATGCTTGAATGCAGCTGCGGGATGTAATATACATCTGTTAGCGCGCGGTGCTTGCCATTCTGGCATAAGAAGATGATGGTGCCGCGCCCTCGGATTGCCACCCTTGAGCCATCACCGAACTTCACCGTGCCGATCACGTCGTCGTCGAGCTCACAGAAGGCTGCCTTGCAGCCCATCATGTGGTTGCTGGCGCTAGAGTCTAGGTACTACCGCTGCTCCTGCCCGCCGCCCACACATCCGAGTTGGACTTGGGTGCATGGT